TGGGACCACAAAAGTCTACCCCGCAAATCAGGAACGGACGACCTTCCCTAAACCTGTCTGCTGGAAGATTCCCCATAATCTGACCCATCAATTTAGGTTTGTATCGAAAACAGTGGATGCATCTCCTCACTATGCGAGTGCATTCTCGACGTGCATTTACTAGCCAAATCTCTTGTCTCAGCAAACTTACTAATGTCTTTGCATTGGCGTGACAATTTTTAAAATGCAGGTTGCCTAAATAGAGTTCGACGTATTGACTCTTGGCGGGAAGTAGAACCGGAAACTTAGCCTCTATTGGCACTGGAGCATGCAACAGCCTTCCTCCGACCCTGATAAGTGTAAACGATCGCCCCTCCTCTGATCTTTTTTGGATAAAAGGGGCCATCATCTGCAGGCTCAGTTGCAGCGTATGCCCTTTCTTCAGCTTCTTAAACTCTTCAGAGAAGACGCTTCGCTGAACCAGCTCCATCAATTTTAGAGACGATTGCTGCAACTCCTTTGCAGTTAGCTCCCTGTAACGTTCCTTGTTCTTGCCGATATTAGCAAATCGGTATACATACGCAAAAACTCGAACTAATTTGGGGTACGACGAAAAACGAGAAAATATTTCATTTGAAAACGAGTTCGCAACGCCAATTAGAACCTAGGCGGACCGTTTCGCCTCGGAGTTCTTCACATCATCTGGGATGTTAAAATGCGGGTTCTCTGGCCAACAATGCTCAGGCTCACATAAAAATTTCGGACCTTCTAGCCATATGGACTCCAGGAGCTCAGGCACTTCGCATCCGCGAGACGCCAAGTCCACTGGATTCGACAGCGATGGAACATGACGCCACGTAATGCCCTGACATAGCTCCTGAATCATGGCTACTCTATTTGAGACAAATACTGCAAGTGACGACGGTTGGGTTTTAATCCAATGTAGCGTTATTTCTGAATCCGTCCAGAAAAATACGCTCTCGATTCGACACTTTTCCAAAACTTGCTTTACGTAGGCCCAAAATTGCGCCAATAACGCTGCGGCGCACAATTCGAGCCTCGGGATGGTCTTTGTTTTTAGGGGAGCTACTCTTGCTTTCCCAGCGATCAATCGAACGTACGTTTGACCTTCGAAAAGCGCTCGCACATAAATGCAGCACCCATACGCTTGACTGACAGACGCGTCCGCGAAGCCATGCACTTGAATCGACGAGCACCCACTAGCCATAACGTACCGAGGCACGGCTATTTTGTCAAGACCACACAAGTTTAGCTTTAGCCTCTCCCAGCTTGTATGCAGTGACATTGGGATGGCTTCATCCCAATCCAGCTGAAGCTGCCACAGCTTCTGGAGGAAAATTTTCGCTGTTATGCTGATTGGACTAAGTAGCCCAAGCGGATCAAACAGTCGAGCACAAATTGACAGAATGGTGCGCTTAGTCGGATTCAAGTTTGTGAAGCTATCTTCCAAGTGATACCGGAACGTATCTGTTCTTGGACTCCACCTCATCCCCAATGTTTTGGTCGAATCGGCATCATTGAATGATAGGGATTTCTCCTCATTGTTTCCATCCATTAGTTCTGGATGGTTCGAAAACCATTTCGAAAGCTGAAACCCTCCCGGAGCCAAGAATCTCAGACACCTGATCGCAAATCGACTTCAGCGTGTCTACGTCATCGGCTCCTGTCAGCATGTCGTCTACATAAAAATCACTGCAGATCACCTCAGAACCCTTCTTGTGGGTGTCTCTGTGGCGTACACCGAGCTCGTGCAAACAACGAATGGCAAGGAAAGGTGCTGCGGAAGTACCATAGGTAACTGTGTTCAACCGAAAAATTTGCAATTGATCGGTGGGATGTTCTCGCCACACGATGAGTTGGAAATTCCGGTCTTTTACGGCCACATCCACTTGCCTATACATTTTCGAAACGTCTGCCGTTAAAGCATACCGATTCACCCGAAATCGAACGAGTGATAAAAATAATTCCCTTTGAATAGTAGGTCCCACCATAAGTAAATCGTTTAATGACCACCCAGTTGTGGTCTTGCTCGACGCGTCAAAAACGACTCGAAGCTTGGTGGAACAGATATCAGGCCTCTGGACGCACTGGTGTGGTATAAAATAATGTGGTCCTGGCGGAATCGCGTTGTCTGTCGGAGACATATGGCCGAGCTCGATATATTCTTTCATGAAACTGGGATACATGTCGCTCAGCTCACTCTCTCTTAACGTTCGTCGCTCTAACGATAAGAAACGACGTTTTGCGACCTCGAAGGACGACCCCAACGATACTGGGTCTGTCTTAAAAGGCAACGGTATTTGAAACCTTCCGGTCGGTAAATTGCAGACATTGGCTTTGAAAAACTCTTCGCATGCCAGCTGCTCTGCCGAATTTGTTTCAGCATGTTTTTCTTCTGGCGTTGCATCTATCTCCCACAGTCTTTCGACCATTTGAGACAGAGAGTCTTCTTCCGGTGAGTAGGTTGCGACGCAGCAAGCGGCTTCTCCAGTCAGAAGCTTGCTACACCGACCTGAAGCTACCCAACCTAAAAGGGTCTTTTGCAACAACGGTGCCCCTTCACCCAGTTTTTTTTGGCCTGTGCACAACAGATCGAAGAACGAGTCTGCTCCAATCAGCATATCTACCCTTTGAGGTCGATGGAATGCTGGATCTGCCAACTCCACATTCGCAGGAATTTTCCACTGCTTAATGGGCAGACTTCTGTCAGGCTGCTGATTGGTAATGCTGCTAAGAACCCAGAAATCTGCTACGAAACTATGGTTATTTAACCTGGAGTATATTGTCGTCGAGACACTCCTCGACACCGAGCTTGACTTGCCTACAGATGTCACTGTCAGACAACGGTTGACCCTTGCCAACCTTAGCGATTGCGCTAGACTTTCTGTCATGAAATTGACCTGTGAACCCGAATCCAACAACACTCTTGCTAAGTGAACTTGGCCAAATCTGTCCCGAACTCTTACCACTGCTGTGGCAAGGATGACATGCTCGGGCTCACTGGATGCCTGCTTCACCTGCGCAGGATGGGACGATGCTTTTACCTGCTTTTTGCCTGACTTTCTGAATCTGCGCTCTGAGCTGCGTATCTATGCAAGAGGGTGTGATGCCTCTGTGAACAAACTCTGCACTTAGAGGATGTGCACTGAGATACCCTATGTCCAGATTGGAGGCAATTAATGCATAATTGCTTGCCTTTTGCGAACTCGAAACGCTCCAAGACGGGTATTGCCCCAAATCCCTGGCAGTTTCCGATCGAATGGTTGGCGCCGCAATATACACACTTGGAGTCGATCGACTTTTCGGCCCTCGCGCAAGAAAATGACGATCTGCTGGTTTTCTTGCTGGTCGACGGCATGTCAAACTTTGGTTTGCCTCTCGCTTTGGATGACTCCTCTGCTGAAAGGTGTTGGTACCGGCGGTTCAACATTTTGGCACAATCCGACCAGCAAGGGAGCTCATCGTAGTTCAGCTGCAGATGTATTATCATGGCGTTAGCAACCTCTCGCTCGTCTCCTAACGATAAAAGCGACTCCAGAATGGCTGACACTGTATCTATAGTTGATCGCAATGCAGACGCTGACGGCTTGGTTACGGCAGGAATGTCAAACAACTGGGCAAGTGTCTCAAAGAATATTAAGCACTTGTTGTCGTACATGAATTCATGTATTGTTGAGGGGATCTGTTGGTCGCTGCCGACATGTGCAGAGCCTTTGTGATCACACACGTTTCTTCCAACGCCGCCCTATCTGAATTATCTGGGTCTAGTACATCGATCTCGGACTGCAGGGCCATTGCTTTTTCAATATAGGAGTTCAATATTTCCAAACGACATTGGATTTGTAATGGATCCAGCGAAATTGAACCCTCCTCAAATGCTATCCTCATTCGATTTATATCTTCGCTTATCTTCTCCAACCTCACATACAATTTTGTGAGCTTCGTGCTTCCACACATTCCGCTCCCAGTTGCCTTCTCTTCATCATGATCTTTAGACATGTTGATTAAATTACCAACGTTGGCTGTTCCTAACTTCTAAACTTCAAACTTGCTAAGCGAAGGCGACGATAACCTGAGGAAATGCACTGCGTTCAATGAGAACAATGTTTGACAGTACGGCAAAAGTATTCAAGTACCCACGTATAAACGTATTAGGTTCGATGCGACAACGATTGCAACAGTTAGAACAGACAAAAACGCAACAAACGCAACCGAGCTCTGTCACGGCGAACCAAACTCGACCCACGTTCGATCCCCTACGAAACGGACGTCTGGAGTTCCAATGCGCGCAACGCTAAGCTAAGCGTACGCAACCAACACCAAGTTTGGCTCGACACACTGAGCTCGAACCAAGTTCGAACCAATAAGCAAACGCAATTCTAATGCGCGCAACGCACTCGACTCCCAAATTAGAACAGCGTTCGACCCGAAAACTAAGTGGCGAATGATGTTTAATTGAGTGGCGCAATATAAGAGTGGATGATCAGCTCTCTGGCGCATACGACAAGCTCGGCGACAACAGCTAGAAAATTAGATGTCAAAGCGCACACAAATACCTAAATTAGAACAGCGTTCGACCCAAAAACGAAGTGGCGAACGATGTTTCAATTGATTGGCACAATATAAGAGCGGATGATCAGCTCTCGTCACAAACGACAAGCTGGGCGACACCAGTTAGAGAATTGGATAACCACGAAGCTGCGGGAGCAAAGTTACGACGAGGGTACTGCACGAACGTAAACTTAAGAGAACCGTATGCTGTACATTAAAGAGCGCGAAAATTAGTTTTCCGCTCCAAGGGTTAATGTTTTCTCAGCGAACGAAACGAAATGCGAAATAATGCTACCAAATGCGAAATGAGCGGTAAACTATGTCGTTGGCGCCTTCTAATACTCTTCCCGAATTACCCAGCTATCACGAATAGTTAAACGGTAGGTGAATGTATGTACAATACTGTTCAATGCCAAGCCAATAGGTATTAAACGCTATTATTTTAGCCGCTATTGCTTTGGCATTGTTACCTGGTCGTCGGATGAATCCACTTCCCTGGGCGTTGGCAACTCAATGTCCATGTTCTGCTTCGGTTGTAGGTGTGGATGGCGGTCTCCAATGTGGTCTTCCGTGGATTCCGTGATCTTCCTTCTGGATTGTCGATTGTTGGCTCGGCGGTTTTTTTGCGGCTTTAACTCGCGAACAGCGTTCTGGTCGAACAACGATTAATTTAAAAACGAAACTAATCCCAAGGTCCCTGCTCGGGCGCCATGTAGAAAATTCGAAACTATTTTTGTTTGTTTAGTAGTTACATGTTGCTTGGATTTACAGTGGCGGGACTTCATGCCGTAACCTTACGAACTACATTACATTTCATACATAACTTCATTGCTTTCTACTTATTGACTATTATTCTATGGTGTAACGACATTCCGGCCGCCTTGAACGACCGCACGTCGGGCTTCAACGTATCGGCAAAAGTGCCAGCTTATGGATTGGGCGTCTAATCACGCCCCCTCCTGTTCGCACCTCTGCCACCCTGACCTTGCCGTCTGCTCCCACGACGACGCTGGTGACCCTGCCGGTGATCCACTGCTGCGGCGGCGTATGGTCGTTGTGGACCACCACCATGGCGCCGACCTCGATGTTGGCCTCTGGGGTTTGCCATTTGCTGCGCCCCTGCAGGTTGTGGACGTAGTCCTTCGACCAAGCCTGCCAGAACCGTCGTTTGAGCTCGGAGAGTAGTTGCCACCTTTTGGTAAAGGTGGTACCGCTGCTCCGTCCGTCTGGCTCGCACCCTTGCGGCAGCGAACGAAGGGGCTGGCCGATCAAAAAGTGGCCTGGCGTAAGCACCTCTCCGTCGTTTGGATCCGTACTGGCTGGAGTGAGCGGCCTGGAGTTCATGATGGCCTCGGCCTCGGCCAACACGGTCCTCACCTCGCTCTCGGTGAGCGCGGCGTCCGCGACCTGCCGCACGATCAGGAGCTTTGCCGACTTGACGGCCGCCTCCCATAAACCGCCGAAGTGCGGTGCTCGCGGGGGGATGAACTTCCACTCCATCCCTTGCTCCGCCGCGAACGTCCTCAGGCTGGACTGCTGCTCCTCGAACGCTTCCTGAAGCCTCTGCAGCTCGTTCCGGGCTCCGACGAAATTTGTCCCGTTGTCGGAATACATCCTCAGTGGAACGTGGCGTTCTTGCGATGAAGCTTTTTAGAGATAAAAGAAAACAATAAGTCGACAGGTCTGGGACAAGCTCTAAATGGACGGCCTTCGAAGCGAAACACACAAATACCGCGATGTACATTTTGAGCGGCTGACGACCTCGAATCCGAAGCGAGACGTTGATGGGACCACAAAAGTCTACCCCGCAAATCAGGAACGGACGACCTTCCCTAAACCTGTCTGCTGGAAGATTCCCCATAATCTGACCCATCAATTTAGGTTTGTATCGAAAACAGTGGATGCATCTCCTCACTATGCGAGTGCATTCTCGACGTGCATTTACTAGCCAAATCTGTTGTCTCAGCAAACTTACTAATGTCTTTGCATTGGCGTGACAATTTTTAAAATGCAGGTTGCTTAAATAGAGTTCGACGTATTGACCCTTGGCGGGAAGTAGAACCGGAAACTTAGCCTCTATTGGCACTGGAGCATGCAACAGCCTTCCTCCGACCCTGATAAGTGTAAACGATCGCCCCTCCTCTGATCTTTTTTGGATAAAAGGGGCCATCATCTGCAGGCTCAGTTGCAGCAAATGCCCTTTCTTCAGCTTCTTAAACTCTTCAGAGAAGACGCTTCGCTGAACCAGCTCCATCAATTTTAGAGACGACTTTGCAGTTAGCTCCCTGTAACGTTCCTTGTTCTTGCCGATATTAGCAAATCGGTATACATACGCAAAAACTCGAACTAAAAACGAGAAAATATTTCATTTGAAAACGAGTTCGCAGCGCCAATTAGAACCTGGGCGGACCGTTTCGCCTCGGAGTTCTTCACATCATCTGGGATGTTAAAATGCGGGTTCTCTGGCCAACAATGCTCAGGCTCACATAAAAATGTCGGACCTTCTAGCCATATGGACTCCAGGAGCTCAGGCACTTCGCATCCGCGAGACGCCAAGTCCACTGGATTCGACAGCGATGGGACATTACGCCACGTAATGCCCTGACATAGCTCCTGAATCATGGCTACTCTATTTGAGACAAATACTGCAAGTGACGACGGTTGGGTTTTAATCCAATGTAGCGTTATTTCTGAATCCGTCCAGAAAAATACGCTCTCGATTCGACACTTTTCCAAAACTTGCTTTACGTAGGCCCAAAATTGCGCCAATAACGCTGCGGCGCACAATTCGAGCCTCGGGATGGTCTTTGTTTTTAGGGGACCTACTCTTGCTTTCCCAGCGATCAATCGAACGTACGTTTGACCTTCGAAAAGCGCTCGCACATAAATGCAGCACCCATACGCTTGACTAGACGCGTCCGCGAAGCCATGCACTTGAATCGACGAGCACCCACTAGTCATAACGTACCGAGGCACGGCTATTTTGTCAAGACCACACAAGTTTAGCTTTAGCCTCTCCCAGCTTGTATGCAGTGACATTGGGATGGCTTCATCCCAATCCAGCTGAAGCTGCCACAGCTTCTGGAGGAAAATTTTCGCTGTTATGCTGATTGGACTAAGTAGCCCAAGCGGATCAAACAGTCGAGCACTAATTGACAGAATGGTGCGCTTAGTCGGATTCAAGTTTGTGAAGCTATCTTCCAAGTGATACCGGAACGTATCTGTTCTTGGACTCCACCTCATCCCCAATGTTTTGGTCGAATCGGCATCATTGAATGATAGGGATTTCTCCTCATTGTTTCCATCCATTAGTTCTGGATGGTTCGAAAACCATTTCGAAAGCTGAAACCCTCCGGAGCCAAGAATCTCAGACACCTGATCGCAAATCGACTTCAGCGTGTCTACGTCATCGGCTCCTGTCAGCATGTCGTCTACATAAAAATCACTGCAGATCACCTCAGAACCCTTCTTGTGGGTGTCTCTGTGGCGTACACCGAGCTCGTGCAAACAACGAATGGCAAGGAAAGGTGCTGCGGAAGTACCATAGGTAACTGTGTTCAACCGAAAAATTTGCAATTGATCGGTGGGATGTTCTCACCACACGATGAGTTGGAAATTCCGGTCTTTTACGGCCACATCCACTTGCCTATACATTTTCGAAACGTCTGCCGTTAAAGCATACCGATTCACCCGAAATCGAACGAGTGATAAAAATAATTCCCTCTGAATAGTAGGTCCCACCATAAGTAAATCGTTTAATGACCACCCAGTTGTGGTCTTGCTCGACGCGTCAAAAACGACTCGAAGCTTGGTGGAACAGCTATCAGGCCTCAGGACGCACTGGTGTGGTATAAAATAATGTGGTCCTGGCGGAATCGCGTTGTCTGTCGGAGACATATGGCCGAGCTCGATATATTCTTTCATGAAACTGAGATACATGTCGCTCAGCTCACTCTCTCTTAACGTTCGTCGCTCTAACGATAAGAAACGACGTTTTGCGACCTCGAAGGACGACCCCAACGATACTGGGTCTGTCTTAAAAGGCAACGGTATTTGAAAGCTTCCGGTCGGTAAATTGCAAACATTGGCTTTGAAAAACTCTTCGCATGCCAGCTGCTATGCCGAATTTGTTTGAGCATGTTTTTCTTCTGGCGTTGCATCTATCTCCCACAGTCTTTCGACCATTTGAGACAGAGAGTCTTCTTCCGGTGAGTAGGTTGCGACGCAGCAAGCGGCTTCTCCAGTCAGAAGCTTGCTACACCGACCTAAAGCTACCCAACCTAAAAGGGTCTTTTGAAACAATGGTGCCCCTTCACCCAGTTTTATTTGGCCTGTGCACAACAGATCGAAGAACGAGTCTGCTCCAATCAGCATATCTACCCTTTGAGGTCGATGGAATGCTGGATCTACCAACTCCACATTCGCAGGAATTTTCCACTGCTTAATGGGCAGACTTCTGTCAGGCTGCTGATTGGTAATGCTGCTAAGAACCCAGAAATCTGCTACGAAACTATGGTTATTTAACCTGGAGTATATTGTCGTCGAGACTTCACTCCTCGACACCAAGCTTGACTTGCCTACAGATGTCACTGTCAGACAACGGTTGACCCTTGCCAGCCTTAGCGATTGCGCTAGACTTTCTGTCATGAAATTGACCTGTGAACCCGAATCCAACAACACTCTTGCTAAGTGAACTTGGCCAAATCTGTCCCGAACTCTTACCACTGCTGTGGCAAGGATGACATGCTCGGGCTCACTGGATGCCTGCTTCACCTGCGCAGGATGGGACGATGCTTGTACTCCTATTGCCTGACTTTCTGAATCTGCGCTCTGAGCTGCGTATCTATGCAAGAGGGTGTGATGCCTCTGTGAACAAACTCTGCACTTAGAGGATGTGCACTGAGATACCCTATGTCCAGATTGGAGGCAATTAATGCATAATTGCTTGCCTTTTGCGAACTCGAAACGCTCCAAGACGGGTATTGCCCCAAATCCCTGGCAGTTTCCGATCGAATGGTTGGCGCCGCAATATACACACTTGGAGTCGATCGACTTTTCGGCCCTCGCGCAAGAAAATGACGATCTGCTGGTTTTCTTGCTGGTCGACGGCATGTCAAACTTTGGTTTGCCTCTCGCTTTGGATGACTCCTCTGCTGAAAGGTGTTGGTACCGGCGGTTCAACGTTTTTGCACAATCCGACCAGCAAGGGAGCTCATCGTAGTTCAGCTGCAGATGTATTATCATGGCGTTAGCAACCTCTCGCTCGTCTCCTAACGATAAAAGCGACTCCAGAATGGCTGACACTGTATCTATAGTTGATCGCAATGCAGACGCTGACGGCTTGGTTACGGCAGGAATGTCAAACAACTGGGCAAGTGTCTCAAAGAATATTAAGCACTAGTTGTCGTACACCCTCTTCAAACTTTCTAACGCCTTTGGATAGTTGGCATCTGACATTTGGAACGCCTTAACGGTTCCCAAGGCTTCATCGGACAAGCACGATATGAGATGGTTGAACTTCTCTATATTGGACAACGACGGGTCGGAATCTACCAAACTTTCAAACAGACTAATAAACTGTTTGTAATCCGCATGCTTGCCGCTGAACTTCGGCAACTTCAATTTTGGCAAATTGGAGTGGTGGTGTGTGGGTGCTGAATTCATGTATGGTTGAGGGGATCTGTTGGTCGCTGCCGACATGTACAGAGCCTTTGTGATCACACACGTTTCTTCCAACGCCGCCCTATCTGAATTATCTGGGTCTAGTATCGACTCGCTCTTAATATAAATTCCAAACCATTGATTTTATCCATCCTCTCGCTTATTCTTCTCCAACCTCACATACAATTTTGTGAGCTTCGTGCTTCCACACATTCCGCTCCCAGTTGCCTTCTCTTCATCATGATCTTTAGACATGTTGATTAAATTACCAACGTTGGCTGTTCCTAACTTCTAAACTTCTAACTTGCTAAGCGAAGGCGACGATAACCTGAGGAAATGCACTGCGTTCAATGAGAACAATGTTTGACAGTACGGCAAAAGTATTCAAGTACCCACGTATAAACGTATTAGGTTCGATGCGACAACGATTGCAACAGTTAGAACAGACAAAAACGCAACAAACGCAACCGAGCTCTGTCACGGCGAACCAAACTCGACCCACGTTCGATCCCCTACGAAACGGACGTCTGGAGTTCCAATGCGCGCAACGCTAAGCTAAGCGTACGCAACCAACACCAAGTTTGGCTCGACACACTGAGCTCGAACCAAGTTCGAACCAATAAGCAAACGCAATTCTAATGCGGAAAAGAGGGGAAAGAAAAAAGGAAAAAGGAAGAGAAGGGGGGGGGGGGGGGAGCGAAAAGGAGGAAAAGGGGAGAAAAAAAAAAAAAAAAAAAGAAAAAAAAAAAAAAAAAAAAAAAAAAAAAGAAAAAAAAAAAAGAAAGGGAGAAGGGAGGGGGAAAAAAAAAAGGGGGGGGGGGGGGGGGGGGAAAAAAAAAAAAAGGGGGGGGGGGGGGAGAGGGGAAAGGAGAAGAAGGAAGGAGGGGGGGGGAGGGGGGGGGGGGGGGGGGGAAAAAAAAAAAAAAAAAAAAAGGGGGGGGGAAAAAAAAAGGGGGGAAAAGGGGGGGGGGGGGGGGGGGAGAAAGAAAAAAAAAAAAAAAAAAAAAAAAAAAAAAAAAAGGAAAGGGGGGGGGGGGGGGGGGGGGGGTTTAAACGGGAGGGGGGGGGAGGAAAAAAGGAAAGGGGGAGGGGGGGGGAAAAAGGGGGAGGGGGAGGGGGGGGGAAAATTTGGGGGGGGGTGGGGGGGGTTTGGGGGGGGGGGGGGGACCCGTGGGGGGGGGGGGGGAACCAGAGGGGGGTTTGGGGGGGGGGGGGGGGGGGGGGGGGGGCTGGGGGGGTTGGGGGTGGGGTTCCTCCGGATGATTTTGGCTCGGCGGTTTTTTCGCGGCTTTAACTCGCGAACAGCGTTCTGGTCAACAACGATTAATTTAAAAACAAAACTAATCCCAAGGTCCCTGCTCGGGCGCCATGTAGAAAATTCGAAACTATTTTGTTTGTTTGTTTGATGCCTTTACTTAGGCTTGAGACGCGGGAATTAGCAGTACAGACCAGAGCTGTGGGCGGCGATAAAGGGCGATCAAAAATAAACCGTGCGAAACGAAGTTCAATTTACGAGTGCTTTATTCCCACGCATCGCTTGTCGGCTATGCTGCGGGCGTGTAGTTACATGTTGCTTGGATTTACAGTGGCGGGACTTCATGCCGTAACCTTACGAACTACATTACATTTCATACATAACTTCATTGCTTTCTACTTATTGACTGTTATTCTATGGTGTAACGACAGGCGTCGTTTAAGGTATCGCTCATTAAAATCTTCCCAATTGCCTAGTGGAATTGAGTCAATGCTGGTAACTAAAACAAACACAATGGTAGCAATACAACAAACGATGCAGGAGCTTATGCGCAACCAAAATCTCCTCCTGGAGCTCCTAATCAAACAGAAATCTGTTTAAATGGCCTGTCTAAATATATGTTTCTGGAATGCAAATGGCACTTCGCAGCACAAATGCGAGCTCCTACAGTTCCTCGCTAAACACGACATTGATGCCATGCTCATAT